GTGACGTTGCTGCTCAGTGACGGAGTTCCAGAATCTGTGGCAGCAACGTGGAACTGGAACGTTTTCAGAGTCTCAAAGTCGAATCTTTTCAGTGCAGATATTTCTCCAGTCTCTGAATTTATATTTAGGAAAGTTGTCATATCAGTCTGCAGGCCATTTCCTCTCACTATGTGGTATGCTATAACTGCATTTTCATCCAGATCCCTATCTGTAGCACTTACAGCAAAGATTGATGCACCTGGTGTGTTGTTTTCTGTCAAGTAAAGTTCCACTGTTTTGTTCTTGAAAATTGGTAGATTATCATTTATATCTGACACTTGAATGCTCAGTGTTTTCATAGCTGAGAGTTGAGGTACACCATGATCAATGGCTGTTATTGTGATTTGATAATGTGACACAATTTCACGATCTAAACGTCCTTTTGTGACAAGAGAGTACATGTTTTCCTCGACAGATGGTGTCAAGTCAAAGGGAATATCTTCCGACATCTTACAAATTACTTTCCCATTAAGGCCAGAATCTCTGTCTGTGACGCTTATTAATGAGATTACTGTGCCAGGCTTTGAATCCTCCGGGATAATGTTTGACAAGGAAGTTATTTCGATACCTGGTTTATTATCGTTCACGTCTTTGACTTTTATAACAACTCTACTTTCAGCCATCAAAGGTGGCTGTCCTTTATCTGAAGCCTGCAGATCTATTCTATAAACTTCTGTCTCTTCATAGTCTACTTTCCCTTTGACTCGAATCTCACCACTGACTTTATCTAATTCAAATATGTCATGTACTTTTTTCTTCTGTGTTTTTACAAATGTATATTCAATATCACTGTTAGAACCTTCATCTAAGTCTGTAGCATTCAATTTGATTACAAGAGTTCCGACTGAGGAATTTTCCTCTAACGACACAGTATATACATCTTTGCTGAACACAGGTCTATTGTCATTCGCATCCAGTACAGTGATCGTCAAGTTCAGGGAGCCAGATTTGGATGGACTCCCGTCATCAAGAGCCGTTAACACTAGGCCATGTTCGCCATTTTTCTCTCTGTCTAAAGGTTTTTTAAGCACAAGAAAAGGTGTTTTATCCTCCTCGGTGTCTCTGATTTCAATATCAAAATGATCATTTTGACTTAACTGATATCGTCGAACTGAGTGCACGCCAGCATCAGGATCTCTGGCGGCATGGATTTGGAAACGAGTCCCCGGAGGAGCATTCTCTGCTATTTCCAGTCGTTGTTCGTTCTCTGGGAAAGTCGGTGAATGATCATTCACATCGATAATTTCCACTCCAATATAATGTATTTCCAGGGGGCTTTCAACCACAATTTTCAGGTTTATCAAGCAAAGATTTGTTCCATCACACAGCTCTTCCCGATCCATAATTTGCCCGATATACAACACTCCATTGTTCGGATTTAACGTAAACAGAGCGTGATTTGGACCCGAAACGATGCGAAATTTCCTGCTTGCCAAAGTGTTGATGTCAAGCCCCAAATCCTTGGCAACATTTCCAACAGAGGATCCTATTTTAACTTGTTCTGGAACAGAGTACCTTAGCTGAGCAAATATCTGCTCTTCAAAACACAGCAACAAAATCCCAGCTACCCACCAGCGTTTCACTTGGCGTCTTTGTCCTTGTTCTCCCATTTCGGCATAAAAAATCCCGTCTTTTTCAAGGAAAAATAACAATGCAATTTTTTCATTCAGCCAGTATATTTACAACATATTCCGGTAAGCATATTGAAGCAGATTAATGTGCGTAGGTTAACGGCCATTCACCTTAACCTACACAGTCTGCGATGCGTTTTGCATCAGTACACCACCTTCATCAAATATGATCAAGGAATGGAAAGGGCGTGTGCAAAAGTGGAGACCACAACCATTGTCAAGGACACACTGACACCACGTGGCAGCCCGATAGGAAACCATGAGTCTATTTTTCAATTACTTTACTAATGCAAAACTATCAGCACGTCTGCAAACTCTGCTGAAGTTTAGATCTGCTTCTCTAGTCAGTCAGCTATATGCGAATATGTGAGCAACTGCATATTCCTATAACTGTGCTTGACTCAAGTTATTATTTTTTTGCTGTATAAGAGCAATATTTATATGTATCTGCTCCACGATTAATTATGAAATTGTTTGT